AAAGAGTGGGGCATGCTCTTTTTGCATTTCAATTGAAGTTTTCTACCCAGTTGCAATAAGGACTTTAAACAGTTCATACTCCTGTGAGTACCCCTTTGCGGCTGAGAGCATGTCTGCAATTTTTGACCCAGCTATTCTCCAGGAGCAGAGAGGTCTCCAAAGGGTGTGAGGTCCATTGCCTGGGGCCAGATGTCTTTAGCCCCCTTGCTACGGCTGCTGGAAGTTGGGGGGGGGGGGAAAGAGATCCAGGCCTGCCCACTCCTCTGGGTCCCGGCCTACAGACCCTGTAAGTAGCAGTTGTTTGCTAAGCGTCTCTAGTGTCTTTGGCTACCTTGCTCCCTGGGCTACTTTCCCAAGACGCTGCTCCATCCAACTCTCCCTCACTCTGGGCTTTGAGGTGTAGCTCTCCACCCACCCAGTCCTGGGTTCTGCAAAGTTTGGTAGCCAGTTGTGGCTAGTCTTCTGTCTCTGTCCTGGTTCTGAACCAGATCTAAAGTTTAGCTTACACACGGAACTATCCGAGGTGCTACTGTCCTCTCAGTCAGAGCCTAGACCTGGCTGGGTTCAGCTCCAGTGAAGAACGGCCAGGCTTTGTCCCAGCTGATTCTTTTATATCAGCCTGCTGGGCCCTGATTGGCTCCTGCTGCTGCAGCCAGTCTATCCTGCTTGGAGGACCTCTTCTTCTGCTCCTCTCCCTGAGTTGGGGTGCAGAAAGGCCTGCAGCCTCCAGCAGAGGGTATTGGGCATAGTCCACACCATTACAAGGACATTTTTTGAAAGTCAGATCCTTCCTTTTACCAGTGAGGATCTCTTGGGATGAACTACAAACAGCTGGAAGGCTATGTATTTTAAAAATAAAAGGATAACACAAATGTAGCATAACTAGACACCAGAGCATCAGTAAATTGTAAATTAACTGTGACTGTTTTAAATATTTTAATTTAAAATGTGTTTGCTAATAGAAAAGATTTAAGCAGCTAATATTACTACAAGCCTTCTGACTGAGAAGCTTTTATATTTGCCATTGGTTTAGAAAAGTATATTACAATTTAAGAGTAGAAGTAGAATATTTGCAATTTGGTAGATTTATTTGTGGCGTAATACATCATATTTGGCCCAGGTCTTGTAAAATGGGTAATTATTTCTACAAATACAAGAATAAATCAGATTAAAATCCAGCTGATATCTGAATATGTAGACTTATGTTTCAGGTACTATATCACGATACATGATGTGTGCTATCTTTCCACAGCAATTAGTTACCTCTCTTGTCTGTTATGGCACATAGGTGAAAAGAATGGGGCAGAGCCAGATGATGCAGAATTGGTGAACCTCAGCAAAAGGCTGGTGGAGAACGCAGTCCTCAAGGCTGTACAGCAGTATCTAGAAGAAACTCAAAACAAAAACAGACAGGCTGATGGAAGCCCAGTGAAAACTGAGGAAGCAGCTAGTGAAAATAAGAATGAAAATGATAGTGATATCAGAAAGTGATCACTGTGAGAATGCTAAGGAAGCACAAATCAACCAAGAACAACCATCAAAATATGTCCCAGCTCCATGTTCAAGATGTGCTGGCTGACTTGCAGTATGCGTCATGAGTGTCTCTTATCAGAAAGGTGGCCCTCAATTCAGAACACATAAACAGTTTCATAAAAAAAGTATTTGCATTGCTGAAAAACTACTGAATGCTGGGAAAGATGATTGGGGGAGAGGGGAAATCGACAAGATCGTGAAATTAAAAAAAGCTCGAATTTTCACAGACTCTTAACTACAGAGCATCTCTTTGTTGTTTTTGAAGAGGAACTGAATCCCTTGCATATGCCTTTTGCACTGAAAGGAATGGCCATGAAACAAGGCCCTGCCATAAGGGAAAACTTTGCCAAACAATGTAGTTGGCGGAGCCCACAACTGCACACTTGATCTGCAGCAGAGCACACCACATTCTGCTGCAAAGCTAAGAGCAGGCAATGCTAAGCTAAAAAAGTTACCACTATAGATGTTTATCACCAGATACTATTACACAGTAGGTAATATCATAGGGAGTTCTCTCGAATGTGACACTATAAAGTATTGTTCACTTTTCAGTAAAGTTTGTTCACATAAATTATATTTTTTGACAAAACACTACCTTTTTATACACAATAAACATGGACAATATTCTAAGTACTTAAAGAAAACACATGTGCAGTTTGATACATTAATGCCATGCTTTAATATTTAGAAATTACATTAGTTATATGCAAAATGTATTGTATCCTTTTTCTCTAGGGAAGAGCCATGAATCAGACTTAATAAAGAAAGCCTTGCACAGAGAATCACAGGCTCTGTTATCCAAACTGAATAAGATAAAAGAGCTCTTATCAAACCCTGAGACCCGGATGAAAATTAACAGGGAACTGTTTGAAGACAGACATAAACAACAACAGTAGAAATTGGAAAAAAAAAAAATCACGTCGACTCCAGCTCTCCGGCTACGTGATCATAAATAGCTATGGTAAAAAATCTCAACGTTGTTTTGTGATGAAAAATATTGTTTTTGCAAATTTTCCATCTCTTTTAATACAGACAATATAAATTAAAGCCAATATAGCATGTGGTATTGCGTTAAACAGCAAAGAACAGACTGTTTATTGAGGAGTTACAGTAGCTCTCTAGATCAATTTTTGGAAGGAAGGAAGGAAAAAGTTAAGGAGGCAGGTCTGTGTCATGATTCTGCCATAGAAATGCCTTCATTTCTAAAGGGTATGATCAAACACTGTGGCCATTCTAAACTTTCAATGTGATTTTAAAATATATAGGTGAAGATGACATTTTTAATGATGTGTCTTTTCTGTATATGCTGGTATTTTGGGTAGTCACTGTTTCATGTTTGTTAATCAACAACTGAGTACACATGTACAGATGCTGAAATATTGTTTCTGCTATTGTTTACATGCAAGCAAGAATGTTTTAATCTCTCAAGGTAAAATCCTGGCTCCACTGAGGTCAGTGGAAGAATTTCCACTGATTTCACTAGAGCTAGGATTTCATCCTCAATGAAGGATGAATTGTTCAAATAATCTTTGTTCAGAATATTTGCCTTGTCATTTCTGTAGGAACAAGATGCTTCTTGGTTTTATTTCTGTTATTTCCTCCATCTCTTTACCCTTTGCTATGTGAAAAGGGGTCTGAACCTGTGTTCTGGGTGCACTCCACACATCTGCTGAATTCAGTAGAAGAAGTGCACACACAAAATCCAACAACAATGCATGATTGGGACCCAGCATTTGCACTTAAGCATTTCTTTAAAACTACCCACAACTTTAAAACCACCTACTTAATCATGCATTCTGTAATCAATATCAGATTTTTGCTGGTAGAACTGCAGTCTAAATATTAAGATTTTATTCATCAACCATGAAATGATATTGTTATTTTATCTCATGGATCAGCTATTTTTTTCCTCTAGCGATAAAAGAGCATATTAAAAAAAATGCATCTTTTGCATTTAAGTCCATCTTTCTAATAAAAAAGATTTTTTCTTTGCATTGTGTCCTCATTCCTCTCAAACAGATTTAAATAAAATGAAGAAGTACTTTTAAGGTAACTCTAAAACAGGTAATTAAAACATATGGGTACAACTTCTTCATTCCCCTCTCCCCCCTCCAACCCCCAGCAAATCACACCTCATTATATAATTGTGACTTATGGCAAAGCAAGGATATTTCATCTGGATATTAACTCTTGGATATTTCTGATTCAGTAGACAGCAGTGCTTCTCAAAGTGATCTGTGGGCCCACACTGAGAAAGCTGCAAACAGGCCAGCCATCCTGCTTCCCACGGTTCCCTCTGGCTGCAAATGACGAATCGCAGCCAAGGGGAGCTGCAAGGCTCCATGACTGCAGCACCAGTAAATAAACAAATAGGAGTGGCCCATTAGCAACTCTCTCAGAGTGGATCCACAGACCACTTTGAGGAACATTGGTGTATATCATGGGTTCCCAAACTGGGGGCCGTGAAGAAATTCCAGGGGGGGGGGCATGAGGCGACCCTGCCACACACACCCCGTCAATAGCACCCCAAGTTTTGCTGCTATGTTTTTGGGAGGGGGGGCATGAGGGTTTCTCAAAAATCAAAAAGTGGGCGTGATGGTGAAAAGTTTGGGAACCACTGGTGTATATAGTGAAGAAGATGCCTTCCAGTACATTTCAAAATAGCATTTCTAGGATTCCCCAGGTCAGAAATTAAAGGTCAAGATGCTGAACAGCCCTGAAGATGAACCTTTTTGAAGTTTCTTTGCATACTTCATGGATTAGTAAGAAGTACAGTTTTATTATAAGCCTAAATCTTAACCTCACTGAAATCTAGTGTTGACAGAGGAAGCAGTTCAGGATCTGGCACACCCAGCAAGACCTGCTTTATAAGCCTAGTTTATGGTTGGTTATCCCTTAGGCTAACAAAAGATAGGGAAAAAATGGGAGTTACTTATGAGCACATGTGCTGATTTATTAACAGTATGCTATACATCACTAGATCAAAAATTTAGAGAAAGCTAGACAAGAATAATCAACCAGACAGATGTATAAACAAAGGAGATGTACTATTTCTGAACAGATTTTAAGGGGAAAAAAAGTCTACCATTTTGTTAGCTTCTTTTTTCTCTTCCTGAGCAGTTTGATATCAACGTTTCTACTCATTAGCCATGGTAACTAGTGTTGTTTTCTCAACTTTGAATTAACAAGTAATTTAAATTAAAAGTTGAATAAATGAAAATGAAGCAAACATTCTGGCCAGCTGTCAAAGATGCTACTGCTTTCAAAGACTACTTTAGCATTCCAACAAAACTCCAGTTCCAAGTGCTCAGCCAGTAATTTACACTAGTTCAGTGGTTCGACTTGCTTTAAAACTTGAACAGCCAAGATGAATTGCTTAAAATTAATTAATTATAAATAATTTTAATAGTATGATTATTGTAAGTTTGGAATGTTTTGGTTCCCAATTTCAAATTGTTTTATTTTTTGAATAGGAAAAAAAAAATTTAAAAGTTATTTTAAATCAGTTTCTATCCTCCACCCCAAAATGAAACAGTGTGTGAATGCAATTAAATATAAATCTAAAAGCTAACATTAGATCTGGAACCACTGGATGAGTCAATGAAATATGCTCTCTGCTGGTCCAACCCTTCTTCTCCAGAAAGCCTTTCAAGGACTTCAGTGAAGGCTGGTGGGAGCCTGTGGACTGGTAAACAAAGGCACTTAGGGACTATCAAATTTGGGGGTTTCTTCCTGTTTCTAAACTGGGTTTTTATTGTATTTGTGCAATTTTTTTTAAAAAAAAAACCTCTCTATTATTAACTCTCTCTTTTTTATACAACTGTTAATGAAATATCCTTTTGATTTAGCCCTGATATATGTGAAGCATTAGCCTGGTGTAGTTCTCTAGAGAACTCTCTTGATGGAGAAGGCAAGTGGTCACTGGCCTCTCAAAAACGATAAGGTAACTGGACAGAGAAGGCTCTGATCTTTCTCCCCAAGCAGTGTCATACAAGAATTCATGGAGGGATAGGAAGGCTATATGCACCGTCCTAGAGTCAACCAACTAACCAGTTAAGATATGTGATTAATTGGCAGCCAGATAAGGTAAGGTGTGTTTTGGGTATGTGAAAATTGTTCTAAATAAAGGTAACAGGCAAGTTCATTTCAATTATGTGGTTTTCTATTTGAATTGTATTTTATGCCTCTCTGTAATTCCACTGAATGACAAAGCAGTTCTTCAGTCGGTCAAGATTTTAATGTGCCTTAAAACAACTGCCTAGTCCTAGAAGATGATGCTCAATAGAAACTGCCTGGATCATTTTATTTGAGTAACTGTAATGCTTTTTGCAAAAATTACTGACAGTGCGGTAAAAGCAACAAGAAGTCATATGATTCTTGCAGGAAAAGGTGAAACATCAAGCTCTGGGAGTGATAATTCATTAATGTAGAAATGTTGTTTACCTCATCATCCTTTTGATCAATACAATTTCCAAACAGCAAAGTTCTTCGTTTGTATTAATTTCCTCATTTATATTCTCCTTATGTCTTTGACAGGAATATTTGTATTGAATGAAAACCAGACCCAAGAGACTGCTAGACCGAGAAATAAAACATTTTCATATGCAAGTAACAATTAGAACAAATCATTGGAAAACAAAGAGTGATGCACCTACCATGCCATTCCTAAGTAACAGCTAAAGGAGTATTGCAGCAATTAGAGAAAAAAAAATTACAGCAAGAGAGAGAGATTGCACATGAGTTCCATTTTCTGGATGAGGATAGCTATGCTTTTTTCAGTCCTTATAAAGTTCAAGCAAAATTGTAACGTGAAGTAAAACCACAGAGAAAGAGAAATGTATGCTGTCCCTCACCCCCAATTACCATAGCGTGGATTAGTAATATATATAAATTAAAAGCAATATACTAGTTCATAATCAGGCTCATATCTGCACAATAGTTTACATAACTTCCTCCCTACAGAGCAGCAGAAAATGGTTTTCAGAGAGTATCAAAGAGACAAGATAGATTTTGAACTGCAATTTAAAGAATGTAAATGGAGACAAGGGGTGGATGGGGTGGGATAAGTGAAGGACAACAATGGTACCAAGTGTGAGTAATTGTGGCAAGGAAACTGAGACCAGAGTAGCTGAATAAGTGTTTAGGGGAAGATGTACTGTGTATATTAGATGTTGGATTGAATGACTACTGACTGTTGGAAAACCACCAAGACACTTTTAAATTGGATTAAGAAACAGAGAAGAAAATAATAGCATGACACACATCTAAGCAGTCTAATAGCATGTTTGTATCAGAAGCACTGGTCTGCTAGTCACACATTTTCAAATCAAATTTAAGCTGAAAAGCTAAGTGATTGTGTTGTTATGAAATGTCACTAACAAAAACACCGAAGTAAAAGAACAAAGAAAATAAATGGCAAAGGCAGGAGAAAAAGACCTACAAATGAATCTATAAGCTCAATCAGATGCTTTACAGAAGAAACTACAGAGTCATACTTAAAGCTTCTTCCCAATATACCACACTGGTACAGAAGTTCAGTTGAGATAAGCATCTAGCAATTGAAATGGAGAAGGTAGAAAAAATCTTTGGCTGCACATAAGAAAATATAGCAATTCAGTCTGAACAATAGCTTCAGAGGGGTAGCTGAGTTAGTCTTTAACTGGAAAAACTTAAACAACAACAAATAGTCTTTAAGGTGCTGCTAGACTAACAAAACACATGAGTGGTATCATGAGCTTTCGTGGTTACAACCCACTTCTTCAGATGACTGGAGTATTAAAAGTCCAGATCGAAGGATAAATAAGGGAAGTGGTGCGGGAGGGGGGGCGAGTGGATGATGGAGGGGAAAAAAGAAAACCAGTGAATTAGATTGTTCAAGTTACAAGAGGCTGAGCAGAACAATTTGCACCTCTGTAAGTGCCCATTGTTTGGTTGGTTGGTTAAGTCATTAGGATGTGGAAGGTAGTGTGTGAGCCAGCCAATATCTTTATTCATTCAGTCTGAACAATGTCATGATTCACAATGTATAATACCAACAGTGGAGTAACACAAAATGTAACACTGTGCAGGAAGGGAAACAAATCTCAGAGAAAGAGCCTATTTCAAAACTGATAGTTATGTACAACTTAATTTAGTGACTGGCACTCTACTGACAAAAGCATTACTCGTATTGGTGCAGTTTGGAAAAGGAAAGACCTGCCGAAAGAGATTATTCCAGTTCTCCTGAGTGAAACAAGCTAAACAAGTACAAGCAGTGTTTTGCCAGTATAATTAAGTCTTCATTAGGGCCTTTGGCCAGCATGGCTATATTGGTCACACAGCACCTGACTGTGATAGTTATGTGGCAAAAAATCTGTCCTACAGACCTGACCAAATTTGAGAGTAGTCCAACTGGACTGTGCTCCACTCAGTCATCCTAACAAAGATAAATCAGGACTCTTAACATTTATGGATACCAAAAAAAAAAGAGAGAGAGGGGGGATATCTAATCGCCTCTTAATGGCCTTTAAGAGACAACTGTGGTTCTTCTTCGAGAAGCATCACTGGGGGTGCTCCACATTAGGTGCGGAGTGTCCCAGTTCTAGCCTGTTGGAGAGCAACAAAACCAGTGTGAACCAGACATGCTAAACTGAGAGAACTAGATTGAGGGTCTCAGACCCCAGGCTCCAGCCTAAGCCTGCATCTACACAGAAAAGAAACAGCCCCACACAAGCCTGAATCAGCTGACGTGAGCCCGCTAGGGTGTCTAGTTGCTGTGTAGACAGGATAGACTCTGAGGCAGGGGGATCTGGATGATTGGGAGAATGTAGGCCGATTCCATTCCTGTAACATTAAAGGGGAGGCTTGCTATCTGAGCTGGCAGTGAAGTGTAAGATTAAATGTGTTACACTTTGTTCCAACTGCTAAATGAAAACCCTTTGTTTTAAGAAGTCTGTTGGCCATAGGCTGCCCATGGTGGAAATAAAGCGGCCCAAAACTTAGCTGGACTTGTTGAGTGATAAGGGATTGGTGTGCTTGGAGCAGTGTACCTGGCTTCTGGTCCTAAGCACAGAAAGGCAACAGGCCAAGAACACCAAAGAAGTCTATCTTAGATTAGTACTAAGAGAGCTGGTCATTTACTATCAAGCATGTATCGGTTAACTTATGCATGGATAGATTATTATTACCTAATAATATTGGAGAGTCATACAGGAGAGTCATTTCCCTATCTAGGATGTGGGAAACAAATGTTTAGAAAACATGGTAGCTAATGTGTATTAAGTAATATGGTTTTATAACATTACTTACTGTAGACATAGGCTAACATTTCAGAATACCTCATTTTTCTATTCTAGACAAAGGCACAGAGATGGAAATCTGTGACTCTTCCTATAGCAATGATTGATCATAAATTACATTAATGAAATGTGAGATGAAAACAGAG